TTCCCCCAGTGAATCATAAAGCAGAAAACATAAGTGTGAGAGAGAGCATGAATGAGAAATATTCCATTACTTTCAGTGAGCTTTGGATTGGGCTTGGTAGCACATCAATCTCTTAATTTCCACATAAATAGTCCTTATGACAGATGGCTAGTTACTTTTAAAAAAAAGGTAATGTGAAATTATTCAACAGTTACATGCTGATTGTTGCCTTATCAATATGCCACATTCCAGTGCCTTTTTAAAAAACAACAACCAGAAATATGTTTTATGTTGCATGTATGCATGCATAAATCAATAATCTAGAAAAGCTATTCATTGTCCTTCCTGAGGTAAGTCACTGCAAATGTGTACAGAGGGCAGACATAACACAATGCTATATCACAACTAGTTTATAAACTGTTGCTTACTTGAGGGTGGAAAAGTTGAAAGGCTTTGAGGTACTGGCTTCTGGGCTTTTGCTTGTTGGAGCTGAGATTCTCTGAAGTCTTTCTTCTCCTGACCGAGTGCTGCAGATGTTCCCATAGGCCCTTCCCGGCCAACTAAAACAATGAAATATAAATTCTGTCACTAGTTACTTAGTCATTTGCTTTTTTTTCCTCAGAAGCTTCCCTTATGTTCAGTGATAAACACTAACAACAGATTTCACAACTGTACAATGCAGTGGACACCAAAATCTTTTCTCTATATATTGCACAGCCACTAGCTATTATTAGCTTTTATTGTTAGAAGCATGCCATAGAAAGTGGAAAAAATCTGGCATTCCAATAAAAGTCCATTTACTGCTCTGAAAATCTAAGTAACAATTTAACATTGATGTACAAATAGAATGACTTGTTAAAATGTAGTTGTCCCCAAGATAAGCTCCTCCACCCCCCCGATGTTTCCTTTCTTAAGAGTGGGAATACTGAAATGAAAACTGCTAGAGGCCATTTCTGACAATATGAAGTGGCAAACAGACAATCTTGGTTGCTCTCATAGAAAATATTAGCTTTTTTTTATCTTTCTTTTACTGAGTAACAAGGATTCAGGAGAACTCAAGCCTGTAACAAAGTAACATTTAGCTTTATTTTAATGGCATGAGTAAGCCCTGCTTTGTTGAGAATTTCCATTGAAAACCTGCTCTTCCAAAAAGTAAAAAAGGAAAATACTTTCCTTGTTTCTACAAGGACACAGTGACAGAAATATTCTTGTCAGGGACTGAAGAGTAGGGATGCCATTACAGTGACTTTCATAATGCTTCTGTATGTCTCAGTCACAATATTTATAGAACAATTAATAAGACTGGTTATATGTTTTGATACTTTCTCTTTCCTGGTAAAAGCATTCAATGTGACCCTGTTCTGCTTGTGTCTGGCAAAAATCCGAATTCTCAATTTTGAACTGATGTCCAGTTTAGCATTTTCATGAGATATTTCATTTCTTGATCCCTGTGACTATGTCCACCAGATAAGAACACAAGTACTGTAATTCCACTGTTTTCTGCAGTTACAGTCCAAGTCAGGCTGGCTATGTTTGGTAACCAGTTGTTCACCAAATTAAAAACTTAATTCTCCTGAAGGAGAAGAGGCAAGCAGACAGTCCAGTGACAGTGATCCAGAGTGTGCTGAAAGCTAATTTCTGAGTCCTGGCTCGTTGACTAGAACAGGTCAGCTCCCTAGTGAGGGAGCTTTCTGACTGCAATAGCTCTTGAATCTGACCATGGGACAGAAGAATCACATAATCAATATACTAGTGGGGGAAGTACAATGTATTCCACACCATTAATAAAGAACCTGAGCACTGCCAAGCAGGCCTTCTCTAAAGTCTACTGCTTTCCCTATAAAATCAGGAAACACTGTGGTATAGCTGACAGCAAGACATCTCCCAGGCTTCCATAATCTGTGGCCAGAATGGGCAATAAACCCAGGAAGTCAACTCCATCTCTAACTTGTCACCTGTTTCAATTCTAATGCTCAAATGTTTATTTGTTCAGTAAAAAAATAGATTTCTCCTGTATCATTTACTGTTATAAAAAGAAAGAAATGAAGAAAAATTAACTCGCTACACAGGAGAAATTAAGTATGGACACAATAAACTTTTCACCTTTAAAATTACTGAAACATAACAAAGGAAATGTGTCAATCTAGCTTTTACACTTTTGCTTTGAATTTGTTGTTCAGAAACACTAATCACTAAAGCAAACTGTAGAATATTAAGAAATTACATACATTTGATGACCTGTGGGTAGAAAAAAATATTTCTCTCTCCAGTGTTAATGACTGGCTTAGTCTGGCCATCCGGCAGGAGACCAACATATATCCCTTTATTTCTCACTGATTCTAGACTTACAGATGCAGTTTCCAAATTCTTCTCAATTTTAAAGTGACAGTATTCATCACCTGTGCCCTAGGAAATTAAAAACAGCAATGTTAATTTAACAACTGAATTGATGTAGCTGGGCAATTTGGATGTTTCTTAAGACTTAAATATTACTAACTTCTAATAACATTTCCAATTTACTTTAAGTTCTTCACGATGTCCTATATTATTACACACATACATATATACATATCTTGGCCTTGCTTATTTCTTTATGAACAGAAAGACAGATCACTTAATTTGAGTAAGTAAAAGATTGCATGTGAAAGCATTCCGATTTCTGTTAGGATTTAGGCAAAGCCTAGGATATATTCAAAGGAGTTTCCCACTTAATCAACGTACATCTTAATTATTCATTAGTGGGTTTTATCTTCAATTTATTTAGGCTCAATACCACTTTAAACCCCTGAACATGTTTGTGCTCTGCCACATTCAAAACAATTATATCAGTTCATAGCAAACAGACATAGGATTAGTAAACACTGAGTCTAATGAGCAAATGCTAATTTCTCACTCGCTTTTTTGCTCTCAAATGTAAATCTGCAATAGTTAAAATTCCTGCAGGTGGAGAATACTATAGATCCAAAAATCAGAATATTTCAACCATCCCCCAAGCCTACTTTTATTACTAAATATACAGGCTACTGGTGAGGTATTTCAAGAATAAACTCAATGTGGTTGCCTGATGAAGAAAAAAAATCAGGGTCTTCATTTCAGACAAAACAGAATCATTTGTAAAAGCTAGGATGCCAACACCACTTCAACATCTTCCAAACTCACACCAGTGTAACTGTGTTTTTTTAATGAAAATCAAATCAGCACAACAGAATCTTGACAGAGAGTCAGCAGCTATCCAGCAACAAATAAATTTTAACTGCATCCACATTCTCAATAGTTTAAAAATATAATCAGATCTTTACAATCAAGTGCCAAATAGACATGACAGCCTCTCTTGCTATATTTTTCTATCTTTCCTTGGGCAAATGAAGGAAAAGATCTGAAAATTTTTCAATCTCAACAATGTTTTACCCCATTTTTATCCAAGCAAGTAAAAAAATATTCTCTGCTATCACTGAAAATTTACTCAAACTATCTGCAGAGGGAAATACAAAAAAGAACTGCTTACTGTTCCATTACACTGATCATCTTTGATTTTCAGATACATTCTCGGGTTTCTCACACTTTCAAACATGCAGACTCCAGAGCCAACTTTATACACCTTC